AAACTGGAAGACAAAATTCTGCCGAGCCGCTGCCTTTAAGCCTAAAAAAGCTTAGAATTTACCTATATGTTCATTTGAACGTCTACCCTTTGATTGACGGCTACTTTTCCGATGGCTTGCGTCGACAAGAGGAGCAACACATCTGGTTTCGGGTGTGACTGCAGAGTTAACTTGGGTAGTATCTAAAAATTGGACTTTCTAATAGAAAAAATTGCAGAAAGAACATATGTTACAAAAAATCAAAATGAACATATGATATCTAACCTTCGTCGTCACTTTCGATGTATTCGAAAGTTTCGTTCAATCGTGAATGACTTCTACGTTTCGTGGAAGTCTCTTTTTTCTTAATAAGCTTTTCTTTCGTAACCCTTTCCAGTTTTGTAAAAACCTGAGATCTTCCTCTTATAAAGTCGAAGCACCAAGGAGACATGCAGTTACGAACCTCACATGGAAGCTGCTCTTCTCTTGTTACAGGGCTCACAGTCACAGGATCGATGCTGCTATTTGATGCACTTTCAAACTCGACAATATACTGAGAAAGTTATCCATATTTGGTAAAATGCTATCAGCGGAAAAAAGAAAATTATACCTCAGTAAGCCTCGCAAGAAGATCGGCTTTTTTACCAGCAATAGAAAGTCGACGTCTATGAAGCTCTTTTTGCAAATCTTTCACTCTTAATGTTGACACACGTTTTCCAGAAGGGAGGCAAACCTCCGCGTCCATCTCCTAAAAAAGTTTTACATAAAATCTCTAACTTACCAGTGGAAGAAAAAAGAACTTCAAAAGCTTACCTGTTCCGCTTTTGAAATGACGCTAAATTTGAATTGTAAGCGTTCGCGCCATGCGACGCGCTACCGCCCGAAAAACTCGTCCGCGTGAATTAAGTCGCGCTCTAATCAATCTGCCATTCGAACACGATTTTACTTTGAACAGCGTTTATAGTGATTCTAGTTTAATTCTAGTGCTATTAAAATGACCGAAAAATAATGGGTTTCTTTTTTACGTTTCGAGAGCTTGTTTAGAGCAGGGTGCCATCCCACATTAGTTGACC